CGTGGGGAGCGGCCAAGTTGGGGGAGCCGCCCGGCTCGGAGCCGCCGTTGCCACTGCTGCGCATGACCTGTGAACCCATGTCAGTGCTCTTGAATTTCCGCCGTACGGGCCGGCGATTTTAATTTCATAATTTCATGCGCGACCTCTTCCACTCGTTCCTCAGCCTCACCCAAGCTCGCAGAGAAGCCGCCGTCCTGGTCGCCGAGGAGCCGCCGCGCGACGCACCCGCCGCGCCTGCCGGACCCGCGCTCAAGCCCCTGCGGAGACCCTCCATAAACAACCGAGTCTCGCCCCCGAAACGGAAGCCAATGAAGCAGGTCATTAAATCGGAATACAAGGACAAGATTGTAACCTCGCACCTGATCACGCTCTGCACACACGCGCGAACACGGCCGCACCCTGCACGACCCGCATGATCACACAGTCAGGGCCGCACACACAAAATGGGACGGACGGCAGTGCAGCGGCAAACACGGAGTAGCACCGACTAGGTGGCGGGCGGGTGAGACGGGCGGTGTGTTTTTCAGTCACTCAATGACTATCGGTCTTTTCAAGCGCGGCGTCGCGGAATATTAGGTAGAGAGTTGCGGCGGCTGATTGCAGTGCAAGAATTGACGATAAAGGCGCGCACGCTGGACTACGCGAACACGGCGCAGTCGCGCGTCGAGGATGCGTTGGACGACCGCGCGTTCAACGGGAGTCTGACGTCATCGGACACGTCCGAAGACGAAGAGATGTCTGAGCAGGCGCGGATGCTCGAGCCCAAACCGGCTTCGCCGTGGCCGCTCGCGCTGGAACCGCGGCCGGAGCTGCGGCGCGAAGGAGGCCTCGAGGCGACTGGCTCGCTCTTCGGTGCGCGAAGACCCTCGCCGCTCGGCACTGCCGTGCAGCCCGCGGGCAAACGCGCCACGCAGCCAACGCTGCAGGTCTCGCCGCCCCCGCCCCCGCAACCCACACCGCCCCCGCCGGCCCGGGCCGCAAGTACCCAGCCGCCGTCGTCGACCGCCCAGCCGCCGTCGACGACCGCCCAGCCGCCGTCGACGACCGCCCAGCCGCCGTCGACGACCGCCCAGCCGCTGTCGACGACCACCCAACCAGCAGTGACGACGAGCAAGCCAGCCGCCACGACGAACCAGCCCGTGATTACGACTCAGCCTGCAGCAACGACGACCCAGCCCGCGACGACGACTCAGCCCGCGACTGCGAGCGAGCCAGCGGCAACGCAGCCACTGGCGGCGACGA